ATATATGTATATATACACATACATATATATAGTCGTTTGGTGTAATCCATAAAATATGACATATGGAAAACATGACCAGAACAGATGAACAGACTCTAAGGATAATAATATTAACCTGCCATGTTGTAATACATTCTTGGAAGGCTTTTCAAGTTTCTTGTGGATGTGGTTTGTTTGATATTCAAGAAGCATATTTACATGCGTCTACCAAACTAAACCCCATAACTTCCCCTTAATTTGCTTTGTACTTTTTGTGACAAAAGTTTGCATAAAGTTTCTCAACACTTGAATCATATCTTCAGTCTTTTTCTGTCCTCTTTTCTCTCTATTTTAATTTATTTTTTTACTTTTCTACTATGTTATCTTCAACACCTGTACAAACATACACACACACCTGTGTAATGTGGCTGCAGGTGTGAGCTGACAGCTGGATGTAGTAGCCGTACTGCTGACAGGCAGATTTCACTGTTTGACCTGCCAGGGTGGTTCGCAGACAGAGATATGCAATGAAACAATTGTAGTTTAGTTCCAGCTGGTAACCTGCTCTCTGTTGGTGCCTGATAGCAAAGAGAGCGGAAAGAGAATTTTTGAATTGAATTTATTGCTTTACTTTATTGACAGTTCTGGTTGGTTTAGTTTCTCTCGAGCACGCTACTTAATCACTTACGTCTCACTTTTACAGTTCGATCTTTCACAAGCTATTTTCAAAGGAAATATAGCTTTCTGCGTTAGTTATTAGAATACAATACATAAGTTTACCTGGTAGGAAAAACATGCTTAAAATGTACATTAATGCAGAAAAACATGGTTAAAATGTATCTTCCAAACAGGAACCATGAAACTAAAATGAAAAGAAACAGAACTTTAGTTACCTATGTCCATCACTTATTCAGCTTAACTGAATCAAAACTACTTGATTTAGGTTAATCAAATAATATATGAAATGATTATGTTATTCTTTGTTGAATAAATATATACATCAATTGTATCGATATGTAACATCTGGCTCAACTTCACAAGCCCCAAAAGAAGTAGTGGCTGCAGTTAGCTGCCTCAAAATAAAAAAAAAGTCTAGATGTCCACACTCTCCTTCAGGCATGATGAATGATGACATCATGATGAAACTAACAGCTACCTCTTGTACAAATCCTAGAAGACCGCAGGGTAAAATGCAGACTCAAGTCTTAAAAATATATGTCAAAATCATTTCAAATAAAGTATTTTTAGTTTCTGCGTCTGGACCACATCCATCTTTGCTGTGGCTGTCTGTGTAAGAGTGATGACCACAACACTGCAGCTTACAGGAGACATAACAAAATTATGTTGTCTGGGACCTTCTAATTGCTCTAACTGTGATTTAGTCTGTTTGTGTTTTGATGCCAGTCTGTCGCTGCTGTGTTTCTCTCTTGTGCTCTCTAAAGTCCTCTCCTTCTTCTTCTTCTTCTTCTTCTTCTTCTTCTTCTTCTTCTTCTTCTGCTTCTGCTTCTCCTCTCAGCCTGTTTCGATCCAGTGATCTCCATAGTTACATGGTTGAGTTCAAGTGTATAGAGGTTGAACAGATTGATTAAGAGGAAGTCACCCAGAATAAAGAGTGAGGTCATTTTGGGGTCAGCTGGGTAGAGGCTATGGCGGCAGAGAAAGGCCAGAGTTTAGTTGGCTTTGGTTCCTTTCCCTCTGCCTCTCCCTCTTAATCTCTCTGTTTGAGCTCTGAGGTCAAGGGGGTTCATTTGAGTTCAGAGAATAATTCACAGTGTTTTTGGCTCTAGGTAACATTCATCTTTAAGTTTAGTTTGATGTGAATGCAGATAGATGAACGAAGAAGATTAAAGTCAAGCTGCCCAATTTGCTTAACTCTGCTCCACGGACTTCTTATCATCTGCTTTCTGTCCAGCCGAGTCACATTTCAGATTCTTTCTGACACGTCCTTTGGCATCTTTTTATAATTAGAAGTGCTATGTTCGTCAGAAGTGGGCCTCTCAGCAGCAGTAGAGCGGTTTGACTGGCAGGCTGCTGCAGTTTGAAGGACGTGACAGGGTGAACTGATACTGTACTGGACATGTGATGTGTAAACCAATCAATGTTCGATTCGCCTGGCGGCCGTCTGTGGCTGTGTGCAGACAAAGATTGCGGTAGTTAGTTACGCTCGGCTGGTGCCATTTACTTTCCTCTGCATGGTGAAAGATCAATCGACAGTCATCCATCCAAACATCCATATGGGTGTTAAAAGGCAGAGCACCACTAAGGACATGTCTCAGGATATTCAGCCTGAATTGATCCGGAGATCACCAGCAAGCTGTGACTCCGCCCTGATGTTTTAGTTAATCAATCATTTTGGACAAATTTTTTTCAGTAGAATTACGTACTAAAGCTGGTTCAGTTTGCAACGCAAATGTCATGGTGGAAAAAGAAACTTGTTTTTTAAGGCTACACAAAATTATTTCTTACAAGAAGCAGGTTTCTGATTTCCTGTTCTTTTTGGTAAGGAGACCAGTGAGGCCATTGGAGTGCACACACACCCATTTCCTGGTACATCCTTTGCTAATAATAATACTAAGTTACTCCTGGAGCACAATTTTTCTCAAGGAAGGAGAAAAGTTCAGCATAAGTGAAGCAGGTGAGAAAAAACTGAGACCCTGTAGGAACTGGGTGTATATCATCAGCCTTAGACTGGATGATGGATGCCCTTTCCTGTTGTGATAACACACACTTTGTATCGTGAAATAGAAATGTGAGCCTGTAGGTTCTGGTTTGTCTCACAGAACAACATGTGGTTACGGTGATGGCAATTGTGTTCAGGGTCTGCAGACAAGGCTGTGTTTGTTATTAGGTTTTACAGCACGGACTGACATGTGCAGTCATTCTTGTCTTTGCTCTTCCTTCAGGTTTTGTGCCTCAGTCTTCTTGTCCAGTTATCTGTCTTTATTCTCTCTTTTTCTCTGGTGAGCCAGCTCTCTTCCCTCTAGGTCTCTACCTCTATCAGTCCCTCCATTGCTCTTTTCTCCCGTCCTGTAATCTAATAACTGTTAATTGGTTGGTAATGAAGTTGTCATAGTAAAGAACGTCATGTCCACTCCTCGACTATATTATGTTTCCCGGTAACGCTCCAATTCATTTCCTGGAGAGTAGCGGACAGAGAGGATTCGTTGATAATGTGATTTCTGTCGTCATGCTCATTGATTTTGACTTATGTTTATGTCTTCTTAGTTAATGTTGGCGGGTTATCAGCTCTGTGTTTGTGTGTCAGTCTCTGGATGTGCTTTAATGCCTGGGAATATTTGATTACAGTGATCTGGGCATGGTTAGTTTCACAGTATGTCTCCCTCTGCTCTCATCCAGCCTCATCATATTCCATCTCCTCTCTTCTCAAGAGAGCTGTCTAGATAATGCTGCTGTCAGTTTTTCAAAAAGCTTTTTCAGCTTGTGTTTTGAGTTTAGAAAGAGTAAAATGTTTTGGTTAACAACTGTCTGGGCTTTACATCCACCGGCTTCAGCTCCAGGGAAGAAATCCATGAAGCCTCCATTGACTGTCCTTGTTTTCCCAGGTGAAGGTCAACATCATCGGGGAGGTGATCGAACAGGGCTCCACCAACCTGAGGATTGACCCTGCAGGTTTCAGCCCCCACGCTGCAATCTACTCCATGCGTCCAGACATCCGCTGCATCATACATGTGCACACTCCTGCCACGGCTGCTGTAAGTTCACGCTACGCTGAACGTGTTCAAGCCTGTCCTACAAGCCAATGGACCGTCAAACTCCTGATAAACCTGCAGACCACCTGAAGCTGTTTTTGACAGAGAATGTGATAATCAGACGTTGGATTGTTTTAGGGAGGTTTAGTAATTTGAAGGGTGTAATTATAACACATGTTAACTGAAAAGGAAAACTGATCTGTAAATAGATGCTGTTATGTGAAGAGATTGTGATATTAGAGATAGTTGCCTTTACACAGTGTCAGCTGCAGACTCCTATGAATAAAACAGCTGTAACACACCTGTCAAAGCTTCCCATCTCTTATATGTCTCTGCTGCCTTCTTTTCACGTTTCTCCTGCTTTAGGTGTCATCAATGAAGTGTGGCATCCTGCCCATTTCCCAGGAGGCCTTGATCCTGGGTGATATTGCCTACTACAACTACCAGGGCAGCCTGGATGACCAGGAAGAGCGCAGAGAGCTGCAGAAGGCCCTGGGACCTACGACAAAGGTAAGAAAACCAAGGAAACTAAGCACTTAGCAATGTCGTCCAGCTGGACAGTCCTCATTGTTCGTAAGGGAATAGCTCGCTTAGAGATACTCTTAATGAGCTTTCTTGCTGACTGTTAGATTAGGTTAGACTGATACCTCTAAGTCTGTGTGGTAAATATGAAACTACATCCAGCAGCCAGTTAGATGAGCATAGGGCTGAGACTAAAGAAACAGCTAGCAAGTTCATGAACATATTGTACCTATTTTTTTAATTACATACAAAAAAACTAAGTGTAAAAACAACACATTGTAGTTTTTCGAGGGAGTTTGGCCAGATGCAGCGATGTTAAAAAAAGATATGAAAATAAGTGAACATTTCAGAAACCTTAGAACAATTGGTAAGGCTGCGATGTGTGGCAATGATATCTCGCAAGGTATTTGTATTATTTTCAAAGAAGGGATGTTTTTATTCCTTGTCCTTGCAGTCAAGAAAGAGAAATGGACTCATTATCAGGGTGTGGTGTATTTCAAATAGGAAACAGTAGCAAGACATTCATAGCAGCACATCCTGTTGAAATATCAGTGGTATTTGGATTATCTTCCGCACCTCTTTATTTCTGTCCCTACATGCGCTTCCCAATGTGTGTTTCGTGCTTGGCTTTAGAGATCCACAGAATTGAAATTGGCAAAAAATTCAGGGAATTTAAGGGAATTTCCACTGCCGGTCTGCTTCCAGGTCCTGCTGTCGTCATCCAGTGGCCCAACCTTTGTTGATACATGGAACCAGAAACATTTTGGTGGTTACTTATTAATTACAGGGCCTGTCACATAGTAGTTATACAGCCACAACTAAAGCAAGTTAGACAAATGGACCTCCTAAGACTGTTTGATCGGACTAATCACTGTTTCTGTGTGCGTTACAGGTTTTGGTGCTGAGGAATCATGGCGTGGTTGCTCTCGGGGAGACCATCGAAGAGGCCTTTCACTACATATACAATGCCCAGTATGCCTGCGAAATCCAGGTACACACACACAAAAAGTCGCTCACTGTTGCTGTTAGCTAATTCTAGCTTCCCCTGCACTTGTATTAGACCAACACGGCAGCAGCTTTCCCACTAAATCTCAGCCATTTTCACATTTCCCCACTCTCACTATTTTAACAACACTCTATAAGTCTATCTTATCTATCTAAGTAATCTCTTGCATTGTGGAAAATGTTGGCCAGACAGTCTTTCATCCAGGCTTTTAAGAGTTTGATGAGGGGAGTAACAAGCTAATGTGTTGTTGTTGATGTCAGTCCAACGCAGCATTAAGAGTAGGATGTTTTTCTTCCTTTTCTTTATTGAGCCAGTAAGAAAGCTGAAAGTAGGATGGCAGAGGGAATTTCAGGATCAGGAAGGAGAACCACCATGTTTCTACAGTAG